GGTGGGGCAAAGGCAATATATGTAACCTAAACATTTGTACCCCTGTAATATGCTGAAATAAAAAAAAATTAAAAACAAAAAAGAATTTCCTGCTAAATTCATTGTTGTTTATCTTTTATTTTTAATTGCAGGGTAAAACAGGACAGATAAAAGAGGACAAATAAAACTTCCAGACACAAAGGAAAAACATAAACTGGTAAAGGCAGTCATAACTTTAAGGTGACTTTCAAATGAAAATTTATTTATGGTAGATAAAATGACTGAAATTATGCTTTGCTTTCATACCAAAAATTTCAAAGAGCCTCTGATTTATAATCAGAAAACCTGGTTTTGAATTCCAGCTCTAATACTAGATTACTTTGTTGTTTCCACTTAATGCATCTGAATCTCGATTGTGCTTCTCTATCAAGTAGAACAACAGTTTTATCTTTGAGGGTTCTCAGATGAAAATGCATATATGAATTGTTAAACTGATAACTATTAGCTAAAACAAGTAGCTATGAAGATGTATCATTTTGTCTTCCAAGTATTAATTTTAAAACTTTCTCCTTTAGGCATTACTTTTAAAATTACCTGTTATAAAATTTGTACTTTACAAAAGTCCAAGTGCTGTTATAGATAACTTAGGTTTCATTCATTCATCTAGTAAATATTTATTGAGCATCTGCTATGTGCCAGTCACCATTTTAGGCACTGTGAATTCAGTGGTGAACAAAAGACAGTCTCTGTCCTCATAGAGCTGACCTTCTAGTGGGGGAAAATATCAACGTTGAGAAGAAAAATAAAGTAGGAAAAGAGAATAGAGAATAATAGGGAAGGGAGGGAGGTGTGCTATTTTAGCAAGGAAAGTCAACCACATCTTCTAATGCAGTGGAGAAGTCAGCCATGTGATCATCTGGGGGAAGAATGTTCCTGATTGAGGAGAAAATAAGTGTCAAGGTCTGAAGAGGTTAAGTGTTTGGTGTGTTGAGCCAGGAAGAGAGTGAAAAAGAAGAGTGGAAAAAAATGAGGTCAGAAAGGTACAAGCCCAGATTATGTAAGGCCTTGCAGACCATGGAAAGAACTTCAAATTTTATTAAGCATGTGAATGGAAAACCATTTTGAAGTTTTGAGAGGCAGATGACATGATTTTGAAAAAGTTCAATCATGGCCGCTCTGCAAAGAATCAAATTAAGGGGGGAGAGTGGAAGTGAACAGATCAGTTAGGAAGCTATTGCAATATTCTATGTACAAGATGATGGTGGCTTGCACCAATGTGTGGTCGTGGGGGGATGGCAAGAAATGGTCAGATTACAGATATCCTTAAAAGTAGAGCCAATATGATTTGCTGATGGGTTGAAAGTGGGGATGTGAGACAAAGAGCTGAGTCAAGGGTGACTCCAATATTTATGACATAAGCAACTGGGTGATTGGTGGAATCATTTTCCCAGATGAGGCAGGAGCAGGTTTCAGGAAAGGAATATCATCAGTTCTCTCAGACATTTCATCCAGGGTGTTCAGAGTGACACTTGGCTTTGTTCACTCTTTTCTGTTTCTTACAAAATTGAAACTTAGATTTTATGCTGCTTTCAAAATAAGAATGAGTAATTGCCCTTGAAAACAGGTCATGGCATTGGTGAAAGGGTACCAGGTTGGAAATGAAACAATTAATGTCGCATTAGTCATCAAAACAGACCTTACTTAGTAAATCATGTAAACTAATTTGGTCACATAGCTTATTGAACTTCCTTTATAAATACCTCTATTTTTTTCCCTAGGACTTTTCCTGAAAACAGGATCTGTCCTAAGAACTTGCTGAAAATGTACGTTTGGTTCATAAAAACAAAACTTAATGCCGATACCTTTGGGCATATTTCTCAACTCATGTTGACTCAGCACTACTCTTCTTTAGGCTTTAAGAAAACCCTGTTGTTGGGAATATCATATGGAATAAACTCATTTTTTTAGTTATAATATGAATATTTAAGCTGAGGCATTGACTAGAGAATTGACCAAACCTGATATTAAACAACTTAAATTCAAATGAAGCTAAAGCTGTCTGGCTGTGAAGTATCATTAGATATTTAAATGAGGAAAAAAAAATATGGGAGGTAGGAATACCAAAATCTTGGTCAAAGGGAACAAAGTTTCAATTAGACAGGAAGAATAAGCTCAGAGAGCTATTCATGCTATTGTACAGCATGGTGACTCTAGTTAATAATAATGTAGTATATTTTTGAAAATGTCTAAGAGAATGGATCTTAAATGTTCTCACCAAAAAAGTGGTAAGTATGTGAGGTGATGGATATGTTCATTAGATTGACTTAATCATTGCACAATATATACATATATCAAAACATTATGTCATACATATACCGTAAATATAGGAGGTATAGGAAGTTGTCCAGAA